GGGGGAGGGCTAAATCCAGTTTTAAACAATTTATCTAGAGGTAAAGACGGATCAATGGGAGGGAGTACATCCCCCTTCCCGTCTGCCCGAAAAAAGAATGGAAGAAAAAGGAAAGGAAGAGAGATGGTATGAACGGAGGAAAGAAGGAGAAAGGACGCTTATATCTAGTAATTATTTATGACGAAATATATCGTACTCGATACATCAAAAAGGCGTTCTATCGCTGCAATTGTATTGACATCGATTGGCCCATTATGTTAACATAGCCTCAAAAGTCTATCGAGAGATTTGTGGGAATGGGTTTTTGTAATTGATGTTTGATTCTTATGAGCAGTACATGGCAATTTAATGTGAGTTTTTTTTTTTTTTTTTTAAATCTCCTACTTTTCAGCTTTTTTAACTTAAATTCTAAAGTTTTGTTCTATTGCATTGAACTAATAGATATATTTAAACAGTATCGAATACGGTCCATGGATTTAAACTATGTATGACATGCTTTTGCAATTTCAAATTTTCTTTAGAAGACGCTCCCTAGACCCCCCTTTGACCTGAAGAGTATTCCATGCCCACCGGATACCTCCTCTTCTAGTGGACCGCAGTGTTCCCATTTCCCGGAGCTGCGGAGCTTTTGAGATTTTCCCGAGTTTTTCCCGATACTTGAAATTTCTAAAATATCCGGATCTTTTCATTTTCCGGAACTTTCTTGGACCTTTGGAAAAACTCTAAAAAGAATCCCGGAACTTTTGACGGTTATGGAGTGGGAAAAATTGGAGCAAAAAAGTTCCGAATGATACCTCCTCTCCCAGTGGACCAGTGTTCCCATTTCCCGGAGCTGCGGAGCTTTTGAGATTTTCCTGAGTTTTTCCCGAAACATGAAATTTCTAAAATATCCGGATCTATCCCTTCAATGCTACCGCAATATTTTAGAAAAACCATTTATCAAATTTAATTGAAAAAAAAAATTGAATGGTCACCTCAAATCAGCTTAATTTTTCAGCCATGATCACAGATTAAAGCATTCCATGCGATGGTTCAACTATGTGTAGTCAAGTAATCAATGCAGAGAGTGCAAACATTTCAAAATCATGAGTTGAAAAACGCTGACTCCGCGAATTTAAATATTGGAGCCTAACACAGAGCGGAGCGACGTGTTAGGCTATTTTCCGGAAATTTCTCGGACCTTTAGAAAAAATCTAAAAAGAATCCCGGAACTTTTGACGGTTGTGGAATGGGAAAAATTGGAGCAAAAAAGTACCGAATGATACCTCCTCTTCTAGTGGATCAGTGTTTCCATTTCCCGGAGCTGCGGAGCTTTTGAGATTTTCCTGAATTTTTCCCAAAACCATTATTTCTAAAATATCCGGATCTTTTCATTTTCCGGACCTTTAGAAAAAATCTAAAAAGAACCCCGGAACTTGTGACGGTTATGGAGTAGGAAAAATTGGAGCAAAAAAGTTCCGAATCCCGTAATTTTCAACGGACATGGAATGGGGGCAAAAAGATGTCCCCCTCCCCGGTTGGAAGAGTCTGGATCCGCCTGTGTTTAAATGTGGCTTGAAATATGAAAATGAACTTACTTGGTGTTTTTTACCCATAAGCTCGTGGATGGCGACCACGATCTCGCCGAGCTCCGAGCGGGTTATACAGCCATCGCCGTTGATGTCGTACAACTTGAACGCCCATCGCAGCTTCTCGTAGGTCGATCCTCTGAGCAAAGTTGATAAGGTTAATAACAAGTCCTGCAACAGTTTAAAATTGCATCCTTTAATACCTCCCCGCATTACCTCCGGGATCAATAGCGAGCAAAAAAGTGTACCGTTACACTACAATCTGCAGGCTTTGATAACTTTTTAACCTCTTTCCAACACCTGTTTGAGGGCTCTCTGTCATCAAAAGCGCCACTTGACTCGGTTTACTGACAGATCAGTTCAAATGACTTGATGCTCGTCTAACTAACAATCTAAACAATGTAATCGGTTGAGGTAAAAGTTAAGTTCAAATAGTTCAACGCTTGAGTGACTGTATCGCGAGAGTATTAGACAGGTGTGAAACGCCGAAAATCTATCAGGCCTTCACCGACGCCTCGCGAATAAAGTTTGGGCCGAAAAGGGCAGCCAACCTTCACTGGAAGAAAAACAAATTGGATCTAGAGTCCAGACTCTTAGAAACATCGACAAGAAGAAATACTCTTGATTCATCCAGATTTAAGCTTAAATCAAGATGCAAGCCTCTTAATTTGAGCGGATTTCCTTTTGATTAAAGCTTAAATCTGATTGAGTCAAGAGTCCTTTTTATTGTTAATGTTTTCAAGAGTCTGGACTCTAGATCCAATGTGTTTTTTTCCAGTGTGTGTATTCAAATTTTAAGATTCATTATTACAACTATTTCTTATTGCGAGGTTTTTTCCTCGGCCTACAAAATTGTTAGTTTGCAGATAAGTGGTATTGCCCCTTCGCCATCGATGAGGAAATCAAGTGGTTGAAGAATAAAAGAAAAAAAGTATACTAATCAGTAAAATATACTGACGTCTTATTCATGAATGATTCTTTATTTTATCCATGTTACGTAAAATATGAATAGAATGGAAAAACTAAATAAATGAAAATAATAAATAGGATACAGTGGTGGAAGATAGTTGAGGAACGCTTACTTTGAAGCTAATTGCCCCGCTACAGTTGACGTCAAACGCCTTGAACACATAGTGGGCATACATATTCGAATCTGAAACAAAAAATACGATCAGCATTAGGAAAAAAAGAAAAGAAAGAGGATTTACGATCGGTGCGCTTGGATGAGAATTGACGCATCAATGAATTCTTCTCCGCGAGAAGTTACAATACGAGTTGCTTGACCTTAGAACTGGTGTGTTTTTATGTTTGAAGAAACTACGTAAGCCGTGAACTACCACTTATGCGGAGAGCTCCTGCAAAATTCCGGGCTTTGTCAAACTAGCAGCTTTCTATAAAATTTCGAGAAAAAAAAGATGATGCCTCAATGTTTTGTTTAAAATATCGTCACCTTCTGGCCAAAGTATCACAAGCGCTATGCGATGTTTTAAAATTTCTGCCGCCATTTTATTTCTCTCCAGAGAAATCGTTGGTTGAATCCGTATGAAAATGTTGCTGAATTTTATCAGCAGCACAATGAAAATTCAGTGTTTCCGGACCGCTCCGTTGAACAATTTCTCTATAAAAAATAAAATTGCGGCGGAAGTTGTGAAATATTGCATGGCGCCTGTGATGCTTTGGCCGGAAGGTGACGAAACAATCCTGAAAAAACCGCTTAAGTTATAGGGCTGCAATGGTTGCTGGTATAATTAACAAATTTTTGGATACAAATTGGAGGTTCCTGTTCATAAAATGCGTATACTGAAAAAAAATTATCGGTGAATTCACTAAGAAAAGGGTAAAATTACCGAGAATTCAGAGTTCTATTTGATCCCAGTTTTTTCTTGATAAAATTACCATTTATGGAATTGGTAATTTTACCGAGAAATCTCGGTAATATTATCGACTTTCTCGGTAATTTTACTGGACCCCGGTAAAAACGCCAATATTTTTTATCGACTGTGCTATAATTACCGAGATAAAATGGCAAAGTTACCGGGAATTGATTACCAATAGAAGTGGTATTCTTACCTGAAAAAAACTGTAAAAATACCAGTTTTTAGGTAAGCTTATCAGTCTGTCTTGGTAAAATTACAAATAAATGGTAAAAAAAGTGAGATGGTAAAAACGCCGAGAATTTTTTTTCAGTGACCGCCCTATGTGAACAGAGGGATCAACTTTCGCATAGAAAAGATTGAGAGTCTCCGATCGAAAGTTTCAAGAAATTATATTGCTTAGTGTTCTTGTAACAAAAACGAAGCATAACAGGATTGGGCAACGTCTGATGTTAAGTTGATTCGTTTGAATGCACCCCATTATTAATGATTGAAAATAAATATAATAACTCTGAAGTAGTAAAATGCACGATCAACCAACACCATTTTCTTCCGTAACGACCCAACTTAAACTTAGGGCAGTATAAAGTTTACTCGATAAATTCCCATTCTTTATAGGAAGCTGCCATATTTCATGCAAAAGTAAAAGCTAATAGATTCTTTTCTCTCATAAACAACGTCGGCACACTCTTCACTTTAAATACACGGAATATTGTATTTTCATAGGAAGGATAAATATTAAACAGCGTTCCCTTGTTAAGTGACGTAGCTAGAGAAATTGTTTTAAGGCGGTCTGATCCCAGTTCTCCAGAATGAGTTTAAGTCTACCCAATGCAAAATAAAGGGTTTCAGGTGGATTCTTCGGGAAAATTTTTGAAAGCTGGCTTCTTGTAGATGCATTTTAAAACTGCTTACACGCAAGTGTAGCCAAATGCCAACGGACGATTCAACTCTACAAATAATCGTCCAAAAAGATTTCAATCTTTTTTCTTTTTCTCATCCATTTATTCGATGAATAAAGACTTTATTCTGGAAACGCACAGATTTTTAGATACTTTCTATTTTGTAGATTTTCTTTCCTTGTGGGGAGAAGAGCAGCTGATACACGGAGGAAAATTTCTATTGGGTCAATAGATGTTCCAAGTGATAATACCCGGACGAGAATCCTCGTCGAATCTACAGGAAATCTCCTTGCTATACAAACGGTATTTTTGTTTGTTTTTAAAGAGACGTCCCTTTAAACAGATTTCCGATTCAAGGAGGGCCATGCCAACTCTGGCCCCTTAAGAGGTGCACCCGTTTGAATTTTTAATACAAATATAGTTATGAGCATCGTACTGATATCATCGAAAAAAGTGTCTCAGTAAATTGATTTAAATGTCACATATACACGAACGCGATAAAACTAAACGATCCAATTCCAATTCATATGTGCGTGAGTTATCATGAAGAACAACTTGCGTGTCATCGACAAAATTTATAGTATCTATATTTGACAAGCTCCCTGGTCACCTGTGCGGCACACGACCTTTAAATGAATAAGTGAAACACTTGAACGTGGTCACGATAGTGTAGGGAATCATGGTGAGAATGGTGAGATCCTTATAAAATACGCGGGAAGACGTGGCAACACTGCATTCTTCCCACGCACATAGCTACAGTGCGTGATCTTTACACGGTCTTTTCGGAATATGCAATTTTAGGAATGTTGAGGATGATTACTGCTTCCCGCACGGTGGGCTGGAAGAGAGAACTTCCTCGGCGACCGGAAACATTCCGTGGTCCCTAAAATGAGTATGCATTGGTCATGGAAATTTCTTTTGAATGTTGAAATTTTTAAATTGACAAAAAATAATAAAGTCTGTTCAAAATACCACGGTCCTCTCTCCGATACTAACCGAGATAGCGAGACTGAAAGGATGCATTTATTAGGGTTCATTTTGGAAAACGCAATTTTTTAGAGGGGCAAAAACACTGTTACGTTCCTTATTCTTGACGGTGGGAGGGTAATAATTCTTTGAAATAGAAATAAAAAGATATTCTTCAATAGTCTGCAAACACTTATTAAAATGAGTTTAACTATTAGACATGAGAGAAAAAACGAGGTATTCTCTTATATGCAGCTAATTCAAAACTGTCAAGAATCGAGATAGAGAGTTGGACAGTTTCACCATCATCGACATGCTCTCAGTGCCTTTTGGTGTTCTACATGTATATTATCGCATGACGATATACTCTTTCCTGTCCCCGAGGCGTCTTACATAAAAGCTAGCTGAATTCTGCTGTGCCAAGGAAAAACGCCACATGAACATCCGAGAGTTGCCAAATTTCCTCATGTATAATGTTTATTTTAAGGAAAGTTATACATATTTTTCCTTGAAATTTTCACGAAATTTGGATTAAATTACGAACGAGATTCTCTGAAAAATCGGGAAAAAATGTTTATAAATATTCCTAAGGATTCGTGATTTATCAAAGGAAATTTGGCAACGCCTAAAGGCTCATACGGCGTTCTTCCTTGGCACGGCAGAATTCCTAAACTATAAGAACTCGTGATCTCGGTTCAATGAGAGGTAAATAGAATCCTACAAAGGCCCCACGATGATTTAAATGCCAATGTAACAAAAGAATTTATGGAGGTAAGATAGAACTTATCTTCACTTTTTTCAAAATCATAGACTCATTCATTGTGCCTTGTAAAATTTTACAGTGCCAAATCATTGTAATTTCGCACAAGGATCTATCTCTTCTCTCTGTTTCCTCTCCTCAGCTTTCCCTATTGAAATTTGCTCGAGGTACACAAAAATGTCCTTTCCATGAAGATGCGTAAAGACTCACTAAAACCTCCCTTTAAATTAGAGTGAATCTTCCTTAAGCTGCACGACCATGCATGGAACGACCATGAGGACGACCCCACTAATCTGCCGGGCTAAGGAAAAACGCCGTATGAGCCTTCAGGCGTTGCCAAATCTCCTCCAATAAAAATCGAATTTACTGAGAAAATTGTGAATATTCGTTTCCAAAATTTTCACACAATATTTTACGCAATTTAATCTAAAATGTCTGAAAGTTTCAAGAAAAAATATGCATAAATTTCCTCAAAAATAAACATTTTATCGAAGGAAATTTGGCAACTGTCGGATGTTCATACGGCGTTCTTCCTTATTACGGCAGTAATACCCTATTAACTTGAACTTGTTGTTGAGAATGGACTCGAGCAAATTGTAATGAGCCACTGAGCGACGTTATGGTCTTAGCGATTTCTGCAGCTAGTGCTTGGATTCGTTCCCGTTTCTATGAGTGACTGAATTCTGGCGGGCATTAACCTCTGTCGCGTTCATTTCGGAGCTTCGTAGACTCGTAGTAGTTGGTGTCCTATTCTCACTGAATAATCCTTTATAATGGTTGCTCATTGAGAAATCTATTTTTCGTTACCTATCTGCCCGCAGTTTGCACACTTCTATACTTTTTATTCAAGTTGTTTTGTTTTCCTGTTTTTTATAAAGATTTCGTTCAACCTTGAAAATGGGAAAAAGTGGCATGCTAACGGTGCTAAACAGAACGGAGCAAAGCAACTGTACCGATCAAAATACTACGAAAATGAATTTTCATATTTATCAACTAATTGCTGATACTTCAACTTGTTGGCCATATATCATCGAAATTAATTATTAGGCAAAAATTCTCAAATTTTACAGAACTTTGAGATCGAAACTTTGGTTTTCTTTCTTTTTCCTACTACTTTCATAATTTATTTCTCGCTCGTCCTTTAAAATTCACAAATTCAATTTTCTGTTTATTGTTGCTCCTAAAATGTTTTGAATGTGTTGAATTCATGCATGAATTCAACACAGTACATGTACTACTACTGCTGAAATTGATTAATCAACCTTCAGAGCACGTTATACGGTTATACGGGGGCCTCATATGAGAGCCTTAGATAAAGGTCTATGTTTATCCTGAAAAGAAAATCAGACGTCAAATTGAAAAAAATAAAAGAAAAAGTCGAGTGTCAATACAGCCTAAGATAGGAAAAACTTCAACCGGCCTCGTTTTTCAACTTCCCTCCCAATAACGACACGTCAATGGTAGCATTAGCACAAAGCGGAGCATTGAGAATTCACGCTGCGCGCTAGAGCGGCTTCAATTTTGCAGATGCAACACGGACATCCATCAAGCACGAATAGTTGTATCTCTACGCCGTCATCAATGCGCGTACTTTCCTTTGCTCTATTAATTTTACAATAATGGCTACTTTTAATTTTACAATTATGGCAATCATTATTCATTAAGTATCATTTCCCTTCCCTCCTCTATTTTTAGACTAATTTGGCTCCTGAAAAACTCCTTTCAACTCGATATTTTCAAATCCTTTTAAACTTCTTTTGATAATTAATGATTAAATTCACTAGCTCCTTTTGAATTCTAATCAACTTACATTCTCATCATCCTAAATGTTTTAACTTTACTTATTAGAAAATAGTATACTTGAAGAGGTTGGCAATTTTGTGACGATATCGGCTAATTGTTTCATCGTAATTGGGATAGGCTTGAGTTGCGGGATGACACACATAATATCCGTGACCCTCGGAAAGAAAGATGTAATAACACAGGAGTCTTTCATCAATCGTAACTATTGACGGGGCACTGAAAAAACAGTCAATGTCGTTAGAAAAACGCGGTGAGTGACATTTCGAGAGAGCACGTTTCTTCCATCTTGATCTCATCAATGATGCACACAGAGCAACCGAGGTAGATGCGGGCTTCAATGATTGATGAAACAAATAAATGAATAGTCAGCACTAACTCGATGAATGGCGCCCGCCATAGCGTTTTTAAAAAACTGTTATTTCCTTCAATTTGTAATATGGAAACGCAATTGAACCGTCGAGTACACCTTTGAAGTAACAAGCTTCAAACACTAAATTTCATGATAAGTATATGTTACTCGATGAAATCGAACCTGCTAAACGAGACATTTCCGAAAATTTCTTTCGAAAATGGATCGCAGATACTTTCACTATAGAAAGTGCAGTCACCAGATTTTTGATGCCTTAAAATTGAGGTCTATTTATCAAACAGCAGTAGACAATGTGGTAAAATAATGCTAGGTCCACACTATTTTACGACGGGAGACAAGGCCAATATGCTCAACAAGTTTCAAGTTCAAAGTTCAAAGTTTCCCAGCAAAATAGTGTGGCACAAACGCGGAAAGCTGAATTGTCTGTTCATGATGGAAACACCTCACTGTGATACGTAACATTATGACGTGGCCACTAAATCAGTCAATTGCCCCAGCATCGGGTATGGAACTGACCAGCCTCTCAACGCCGTGAGTGAGATATAGTCATCGGAATGGCCAGGTTTGGGGCGGAGTCGACGACAGCGTTTTCGGGACAGGCGTGGTAGACCACATGTTCGAGGGTAACCACCGATTGTTCATAAATTGATATCGTCTCCCGTCAACTTTGAAATATGGCTTAGTTTGCGTGCGGCGGCAATGTCACGTCGTAGACCAATTTTGTGAACGTGAATCGATTGCTGAATGAAGGTGCATACATCTCTGTTGCCACAATGAACAGCCCAATGGACTGGAATTTTCAAAAACAATGGAATTTCCCAAGGACCTCTGACTTTTCACCCCCCAATAATGAATTGATCTTTGATGCAATTGGTAAATGTCTTTCTTGAAGCTTTCCAAATATTTTGGATTAGCTGGCGACGAATATTCCGCGAAAGCTCTGGAAAAATTGTATTTCATATGAGGAAATTTGGCAACGTCTGGATGTTTGTAAGGCATTTGGTCTTGGCACGACAGATTTAGGTTCTTCACACGTATTATTGAAGAAGATGACCCAGTGCATGAAGCTGTTACGTGACATTTTTGTTACATCGAAAAAAATAGGTGAAACGTTTACAAATGGACCGTCACACGGAAATCAAGTACCATCATCATTGTAAGCTGGATGTCATTGGGCAAAACGGATTTATCTAAAAAGGCAGTATTAACAAAACGCAGATACACTCTAGCATTTTATGAGATTTATTACGTTATTCCTTAGATCCCTCTTTGAATAGAGATTCGTTTTTCTGAATAATACCAAGTTATCTCTAGCTCAATCCATTTTTTCCAGGGGAGGAGGTCTGTTGGAGGGTGGGTTGGTATGGGAGAGGGTTTGAGAAGAGGCAAAATTTGCTGGGTGGTAGGCTTCCCCAAATTTTGGAAAATTTCGTAAAATTTATCAATATGACTGTATAAGGGTTTCCTTGAAGCATCGTGGTGCTTATTCCTTGCCATGTCTAGATATCCATCACATGTTTTTTTGTCGCACTAGGACATTGAATCTAGAACTTTTTTCCAATGAATTTCAGCAGGAAAAGCGTTTCCTAGAAAATTAAAAAAAAAAAACCAAAAACTCAAAGTAGTTTATTTAACCAATGGGAGAGGCTTAGAGTAGTAATAAAAAGGACACGTTCAGAAGCGGCTTGGAATGCAACGTAACAGCGCGATGCGACGCAACGCTTCAAAACGCCTTCAATTTTTCTGCACGCAACATGGACATCCAAGAAACACGAATAGTTGTATCCGACGCCTGTCTCTGATGAATTCAAGGCTAACTGAATTCTCATGTTTGCAATGTGATTAAGGGAGTACAAAGGCGGCCTTTGACACGACATCATAAAAATTTCAATATTTAATGAAAATTAAATAGCATCGCCAAGGAAACAGATTCTTGCAGGGGATTACAATGATTATTCATTGAAAGTAATGCGAAATGTAAATGAAGAAATTTATAATTTTGACAAAAATTCAAGTGGCGCGGAACATTGTAGTTTTTATATTAAATTTTAAGTCTTTAAAATCCCTTTGCAGAGCTGTATTCACAAGTTATACTGGAAAGTATCTCTTCAGGATTGTATAAGTTGTTCTTATTATATGAATTATATTTTGCAATTAGGAACCAATATTTCGGGCCCATTTTTAGAAACAACATGCATGCCATTAGTTTCCCTATGCAGATATTTGTGCTTTCATGGGCAGAGCCGTTCCTTATTGCAAACTGTAATCCATATAGCACTATCTTTAAGGCCTTATTTAACCTCTCTTAAGCACAACGTGGACCACGAGGCACTCCTAAGGATGGAACTGCTTGATGAACGGCTATGAATACAGCTTTAAATATTGGATCTTTGCAAATCTATGTTCAATTTAATTTTGAAGATAGTCGTCGATGGTCTCAACGAATCCATCAAAATGTACATGGTCAATTCCAACACCCGGAGTTCAGCTCTTTTTGAAGCAAACGATTTCAAAATTTGTGTGAAACTTCACCTAGCACCATGCCCACACTTTGGGCCCTTTCACAACGTTGTTTCTTGACTCCCCCATTTTTGTTTTTTTTTTTTTTGGGGGGGGGAGGGTTCGAACACCATCGATAACAATTTAACAATCCACTCACAATTTGGATATAGGGGTAGTAATATAGATTGGAGGTCGGGGTAGGGGTATTAAACGACCAATATCGTCATCCCTCTTTATAGAGGCACATCTCTCTAACTTCTTTTTGGGATAATAAAAAAGAATATAAATGATAAAAAACAGATAAATAAAATAAAAAATCAAAATTTTGACTGTTGAGTTTAATAAAATATTCAATTAGAGTAAATACTCACTTCCGTGTGGAAAAAATTTAGCGTAGATGTCTTTGAAAGCATCTTCGTGGACGAGCCCTCCAGGGCATTCCTGCAAAATTAAATAAACGAAATGATTATTTGATTGATAAAAAGAGTCGCAAAATAAATTATAAAATACCTAATCCGAACAAATTCCAATTTATAGAATAATCGTAATGTGACATTAAAATCGAAACGAAGGCTGCCGGACCACCTTTACGCAAAGATCAGGGTCATATTCATTATGACCCATTTTCATGGTCATTTTCAACCAACAGCAGTACTGCCGTGCTAAGGCTAAGGAGGAACGCCGTATGAGCCTTCCGGCATTGCCAAGTTTCCTCCGATGAAAACCGAATTTACTGGGAAAATTGCTAATATAAGTTTCCAAAAATTTCAGACAATTTTGTACGCAATTTAATCTTAAATATCTGAAAATTTCAAGGAAAAATATGTATGGATGTCGTCGGAAATACATGTTTTGTCGAGGGAAATTTAGCAACTGTCGAATGTTCATACGGCGTTCTTCCTTAGCTTGGCAGAGTAGACATCATTTTCAAGACACGATTCAGACATTCTAAGAGAATTCTTGAAAGTTCCACAGAGGAATAGGAAGAGCCTCAATAATTTACGTACCACTTGAAAAAAATCCGAGAGAGTTCATAACAGTTCCATTTTCATGCACGGAAAAAATGTATCCTTCGCGTCGCTGAAGATTCACCTTAACAGTGAATGAAGAAATCGAAGAAGCTTCTCGTTGAAGATTCTGTATGCGGTTTGGAAGGAGGAATCCTCGTACCATGAGACATTCCGACACGAGATCCGAGCTTCGGATAAGGAGAACGAAGCGCGTCTCCAACTCCTCCCCAATTATTTTATTTGTTTATATTTTTTCATCCCTCCACAAAGCGCGGAGCCGGGAGTCTCGTAGGCTCGCGCTTCGGTGATCGCGAGAAGCGCGAGTGATCGCGAGCAGCGCGAGTGCTCCTTCGCGATTTCAAAGCCCTGCTGATCGAGTTCAAAAAGGAAAAGTTAATTTGGAGTTCACTCGAGAGATGTAGGAGAGCCGAGTCGTGGGGGAGCGGGAGCTTGACAGTGCGAATGAAGGTGTTTCGATGAGCTGCGCCTCTCTCCACCATTGCCGAGTCGACATTTCGACAAATCAAATTTGACGCGCCGCGTCGCCGAGGAAGCGCTTGTATTTCCTCGCGAGTTGATTTGCTCCGCGTTTAATATGATGCGCCTTCATTTAAATGATTATGCTTCCCGTCGGTGAGGTTGTCTACCCAGCGCCTTGCACCGCCTCGGTTGAGAATGACGTCACTTCAACAGAATCTGTAGCGGTGGCATGGCGTGATGATAGATTATCGATATTTGCCTATTTGAAGCTATGGGGAAGAATCGATCATTCCGGTGTTCGTTGCGAACGCCGTGATAATCGATCCTTTTCCATAGATCTGTTTAGCAGATGAATCGATTCGTTGCTTGTATTTCCTCGCGAGTTGATTTGTTGCGCGTTTAATATGATGCGCCTTCATTTAAATGATTATGCCTCCCGTCGGTGAGGTTGTCTATCCAGCGCCTTGCACCGACTCAGCCTCGGTTGAGAGTGACGTCACTTCAAGAGAATCTGAAGCGGTGGCGAGGCGTGATAATCGATTATCGATATTTTCCCATTTGATGCTATGGTGAAGAATCGATCATTCCGGAGTTCGCCGTGATAATCGATCCTTCTCCATAGATCTGATTGGCAGATTAATCGATTCATCGGAAACCTGCGTCGCCACTGATCTGTGAGGGGGAGGGACGACATTTTTTTATACGCCTTTGCTTCTTGGAGCCATGAGAAGGAAGGGAGGGGGCAAAACTCCGAAAATGTCAATGAAGTACCCTATAATAGATTTTAAAACATTGCATCCCTAAAGAATTTTCAACTTCTTATGATTAGGAGCAGGGAGAGGCAATGGTTCATTCTACCCTCCTGAAAAGACTCTCTTATTGGTTAAAGCGTCAAATGCTCACCGTCCTCAAACAGGCTACTTTAATGGGTCAGTTACGCTATTCATGAAATCGATTTTTGAATTCGAAACAGCAAAATATGATACAATGTAAATTGGATGAAACGACCTATTAGGGGTCGGCCTTCAGAATTGGTCGTTGTAGCCGATTGTCGTTTTATCCGATACGAAAATGCATTTTAATCAATGGGATTACAGCCGCAGTACCGACAAGAAGTCCCGCCTATACAATCGATATTGTCTTCATAAGCGATGTCTTCATATTCGATTTTCACCATACATGTAAGATCTGTTGGAGTGGCAAATTCGTAAGCCCAGTATCGGGTAAAGGCAAATTCTGGTAGGTTGGCAACACTACTTATCCTCCATTCAAATCAATTATAAATATCGATCCGAAGAATAATCGATTGTTTGACTAACATTTCAATGAACACAACTAAGTGTTACCTAACTACGCGAATTGCTGGTATCAGAGGTATTTATACGCACAAATTACAACGTGAGATTTTCTCGATTTAACTAGCTCCATATCTTCCGTGACAAGCCGTATATCACTAGATCCACCCCCCCCCCCTTTCAATTAAAAATCACACGAAGTTGGGCGTGAGCGCATTACCCATTCCCTCCGAATTCTGGGGGGGGGGGGGGGGAATAAAAAATAGTGTGCTAATTTAATGCCCCCCATCTCCCCGCTCCATTTTCAAAAAACAAGCATTATCAGTGATGCGTTCAATTCATAATTTCACGTTAATTTTTCGTTTTATTTGACACCCCTCCTTCCTTGATGATAGGTTGTGCAGTCCTTTGACTCCTGCCGTGTCTCTTAGCCCATTGCATATCAAAGCTATGCAAATTATTCGCATTCGCATAAAGAGATCCACTCAACTGTATAGGTGCTGATGAGCAGTGGCGCGGCGTGAATTGCGATATATCGATTGTTATGCCATTGAGACCTATGGAAAAGGATCGATAAACAGGGTGTTCGCAGCGAACACCTTAATAATCGATTCTTTACCATAGGTTTAAATGTCATAACAATCGATACATCGCAATTCACACCACGCCACTGCTGATGAGCCAGTAAGTGACGAATAAATTAAAGCATTCCACTTAGGATATATTCCTCTCAAAATATATACTGAAGACTATGCACGCAAGGAAACGTCAGGTATACAGTGAAATACTCATGACCTTAGTTTATTCAGAAATTTTTTATTTACCGTCATCTTATTTTCTGCTTGGCGCTCTGACTGAGCAAACCTCGTCTGAAAGAAATCAATCCATATTTTAAGAGGACTAAAGATAGGTAATAGCTAATAGGATCAGCAGATTTACGTTAAAAGTTAAATAGGATAATTAAAAAACCGAATTGTGCAACAGTGAGTAGTCTTAAATTGATCGCATTAAGCATAAAAGACCCAAGCCACATCAGCTTTTGCTAAATTCAATTGGTCTCTTTAATTTTTACATGAAAACGGTTGTGCCGATTTTGGAGCAAATTTTAGTGAATTATCTGCATAGTACGAGGCAAATTCTTTAAAAATTTCAGAGGAATCTGCACAAACGTTCTCTTGTAAAAAATTAAATTGCCCGTTTGAAGTTGGCAATAGCTGATGTGGCTCGAGTTCATTCTACTTAACGCGGTCAAAATTACATACGCTACCATTATTATTTTTCAGGAAGTGCCTAGTATGAGTTCAAAAATTTCCTGAAGAGAGAGAGAGATTTCCTGATTGATTCACGTAACTGTAACTTCTCACTTTCCTGTAACTGTTATTCAGTTCATTAACCAAAGATTCAAAACGAACCGAACTATACAAATAGTTCGTAGCGTGGACGATATTATAGAAAGAGTTGGGTCAAATAATGAAATGCGGGTACGGTTACCGGAACCTAGAGGGGCCGTTCATCACAAACGTGACACTGAAAATCGGAGTTTTTACTACCCTTCCTCGTAACGTACAATCATAGCACAGACCTACATCTTCCATGAAATAAATAAAATGACGCTTTGATCAACCCTTAAATTAGCGTTTTGTGATGAATTTTGGATGAAAAGTTACAACCACCTTTCAATTTTTCATCTTCAATTTTCGAAAAATTGGCGCCACGCCCATTGGAGCGTTACAAACCGCAGCTCTGAAAAAGCTACCCCCTCCTTCCCCTGGCTCCGGTCAATACAACCGAATTGCACCGGAAAAAAATTGTAAATTGGCCGGCAAGAAGTATTTTTTCTTAAATCAAGGATTTTGCTGCTTAATAGAAACTACTTTTTCGCTTAACCCAAACCTTATTTTGCTTGTATCAAGAAAAATTTAGCTTAAATCAAGATAAAACAAATTCTTGGTTGCAAATTCAAGCATTATCGTGCTTGAGCCAAGCGCCATTTTTTCCAGTGTTCTTTTCTGAGTGCAAGCGGTAGAAAACACATAAATTTTGAGGGATTTGGCAAATCCACAATGCAAATTAGCGAGCAGAGGTTTATTAGTGAAGTCAGTTAACTACCCGTCTATCAAGAGATACAAGAGCGAGCCCCTCGCGATGCGCCTTTAAACCTGAAGAAGACTCGCGCCTTCTTCAACGGTTACCGCAGAGTCATCAAAATTTTACGGGGCCAAAATAAGGCAAAGCAGCAAGCCCTGCGCCCTCCATTTTCCTAGCCTCGAAACGGAATACCGAAGACCTCCTTTGAGATGGATAAAAATACTCATCCTCCTCCGCACCCGGAATGCCCACTTCAAGTGCCAACACTCGTTCACCGCTTTTGCCCTGTTAAGCTGTGCCATAAGAGAAAATGATATATCACGGTGAAAAGTCTCTCTGCTCCGAAAAAAAACCGAGCGCTTTGACTCTACTCTTAAGGTGAATCTTCAGCGACTCGTAGCACAATGGATCGAGTCGATAAGAGAGGTCGGACAAAATTTGGAAACTTTAAACGCTCATAACTCCCTTTAAATGAAACTTTGAGGTTCTGATAGGGGTTCCAATGATTTTCTCGTGAAATTTTCTTCTTTAAACACCCCTTAAACTTTAAAATATGACGGAAAAAACA